AGAACGGATATAACACTTTCCTTAGGTTATTTAAAGCGGCAAATGACCACCAAACCTTAATCTTAGCAGACAAATGTGCCAATGAAATCGTAAACGTGAATTGTTGGTGAAAATGTTGGACCAAAAATTTCAATAAAATATATAAAAATTTTGGGCGGGACGATGTTCGCCGGGTCTGCTAGTTCTATATATTTCGAATAATGTATGCTTCTTATCAATTAAGGTAAAACCAGAAATTTTTTCTGTATATGGAGAACCAATAAGAACGAGTAACACCGCGGAAAGTTTCCACAGCCGGTTTAATTTGAAAATGCCAAAACATGGGAATTTCTTCAAATTTATGGACATGTTGTGTGACGTAGATGAAACAAAGTCAATTGAGTATAGTAGATCAATTTTAGGATTAGTTTCAATTTATAAGAGTTAAAAAACTCATTTAGGTTTAGGTTTAGGTTACACTGGCCGGCTGATGCGCCTTACATAGACCCGTTGGTCCTTTGTAGTGCCAGATGGAGGTCCGTTTTACTGCGGTCTAAAGTAGTCGTCGTATAGGACGTCAACGCTTTTTGCGAAGTTCAAGAGTGCCTTAATATCCAGTTTTGAAACCTCCTCTAGTCCTTTAAACTGCGAAGCTCCGAGATAACTAAGACGATTTCTAGCTACGGCCGGACAGAAACAGAGGAGGTGTTCTAACGCCTCACTCATGCCCATTCTGCTTGTGTGGGATGCCAGTAGGTTGTGGCCCGTCATTAGGCCGACAACTGTCCTGCAATCCCTACGTGACCGTGTAAGCAAGAAATGGGTGTTTCCTTTGCTGCTATTGCACATGATCTTGGTGGTTTTGCATGTCGCTAATGCGTTCCTTCTCCCCCTGATCCGGCACCCAGCTCTTTCGGAAATTTCATTGTAGATCGTTTTTAGCGACTTTTGTATTTCCCGTACTGGTTCGCTAGCAAGACGGATGGCACTTTTGGCAATCTCGTCAGCTATTTCGTTGCCTAAAATGCCCTTGTGGCCTGGAACCCAGTATATATGCAGCCGTTTACTCTCGGCCGCCCTGTCTACTGCTTCCCTGCTTCTAAGGACATTTTCTGACGCAATACGATGTGAGATTATGGCCTTAATCGCCGCCTGGCTATCGACATATATATTGATATTTTTTATATAATTTCCTGCGTTGCTAGCTATCTCAGCAGCTTTCCCTACAGCGAAGACTTCCGCCTGGAAAATACTGCAGTACTCTGGAAGCTTGAAAGGTTGCCTGAGGTCTAGCTCGGCGCAATAGACTCCGGCGCCCACTCCATCAGCCATTTTTGATCCATCCGTGTAGATGTTATACGTTACGCGAGTCGCGTGCTCATGCGCCATCCGCCCTCCTTAACCGTATCTTTAAACCTTCTTTCCCAGATGAAGCGTGGGGGTATGTGGTCTATTTTGTCCTCCATCCCCCTGCATATCGAGCTGTGCCCGAAGGTTCTTGCGGAGAATTCACCTAAGGCCATCAATCTCGTGGCGGATTTCGCTGCAGTGCTCTCCACCGCGATGTCGATTGGTGGTAGGCCAAGTAGCCTTTCAAGTGCCGCCGTTGGAGTGGTCCTTAGCGCTCCCGTTATGCACAGTGCAGCGAGCCGCTGTAATCGCTCCAATGGTTTCCTATACGAAATTTTGTTTGCAGCGGTCCACCATACCAGAGCGCCGTAGAGCAATATCGGCTTAACTACCGCTGTGTAACACCAATGCATGAGGTCAGGGGATAGGCCCCATGTGGTACCCAGCATCTTTTTACATGCGTAAAGGGCACCACTGGCCTTTTTCACCCTTTCCTCCACATTTAGCTTCCACATCAGTTTGCTGTCCAAAATTACTCCCAGGTACTTGGTGTGATCCTTGATTGATAGCTCCGCCCCGTTGAGCCTCGGGGGTTTCCACACGGGGATTTTGTACCTTCTTGTGAACAGTACCGCATCCGTTTTGTCAGCATTTACCTCTAAGTTGACTGTTGTCGCCCATCGATGTACGACCCTTAGAGCGCTTTCCATTACGTTACTGATGGTGTCTAGGAATTTCCCCGTAACAACTATAGCTATGTCGTCCGCATAGGCAATTAGTCTGGGTGCTTTCCCTTCGAATTTTCCCAGAAGCTCATTCGCTACGAGTAGCCACAGGAGTGGTGACAGAACACCGCCCTGAGGAGTTCCTCTATGCGCTAGTCTGAGCAACCTGGCTTCGTTCCACTCCGCCTTAATTTTCCTGCAGCTCAGCAGGCTTTTTATCCATAGTAGGATGGCAGACTCTACCTGGGCTGCTTTTAGGCTTTCCATTATTGCCTCATAGGAGACATTATTAAATGCCCCACTTATGTCCAGAAAGACCCCTAGGGCATATTCTTTATGCTCCAGAGCTTTTTCTATTACCGCGGTTAGTGAGTGAAGTGCAGCCTCAGTGGATCTACCCTTCGTGTAGGCATGCTGCACCTTTGATATGCTGGCCGACGGCAGCTTATCCCTAATGTAGGCGTCCAGAATCTTTTCGAGCGTCTTTAGAAGGAATGAAGTTAGACTAATTGCTCTGTATTCTTTCGAATAGAGGGGATTTCCCTTGCCCGCCTTCGGTATGAATACGACCCTCGCCTCTCTCCAAAGGACAGGCACATAGTTTAGTCTTAAACATCCCTCGTATATTGTTTTCAAGTATGGTGTCAGCACTGCGGAAATTTTTTGAATCATGGCTGGAAAGATACCGTCTGTGCCTGGGGACTTATACGGCCCGAAGCCATCGATTGCCCACCGTATTTTTTCTTCCATTATGATGTCCGGGGGGACATTTTCCACGCTATCTCCTAGAAGTTGCAGATCTATGCTGTCTGTACACCCCGGAAAGTGTGTGTTGACTAGGTCTTCCAGTGAGTCCTCACTGCTTTCAGTCCACTCTCCACATTTTTTACGTAGTAACCTTGGATTAGTCGGGTTCTTGGATAGCAATTTCCTTAGCCTGGCTACCTCGGTTGTTTTTTCTAATTCGCCGCAGAAGCTCTTCCACGACTCCCGCTTGCATTTACGAATCTCTTTCTTGTATTCCTTAAGTACTTCCTTGTATTCCATCCAGCAGAACTCGTCATCGGCTACCTTGGCCAGTTTGAAGAGTTCCCTAACATTTTTCCTGAGTGCTCCGAGCCCCCTGTTCCACCAAGGTGGCTTTGAACCTCGCTTGGCATGTAGCGGTGGGCATGCGATGCGGTAAGCTTTATTTAGAGTGTTGGTAAGTGAGACTACCAGTTTCTCCAATTCAGAGTGGGAGTCACTTACCCTATACTTGGTTAAATTCTTCCTCACTACCCTTTCATACAATTCCCAGTTTGTATTCCTGTGATTTCTGAAGGTTTCGCTTTTTGTACGGGCTGAGAATTTTACCTGAAATCCTACATACCTATGGTCAGAGAACGAGGGTGTACTAAGCACCTCCCAATTCTGTACTCCGATTCCCCCACTAGTGTGGAGTGTTATGTCAAGGACGTTCTTCGAGGTAGGGCCAATATAAGTTGGTTCCTCACCCCGGTTAGCTATATCTAAATTACTTATTAATATAAAGTTTAGTAAAGACTCACCCCTTTCGTTGGTATGTCCACTCCCCCATACTGTGTTGTGCGCATTGGCATCCTCGCCTATGATGAGTGGGCGTTTCGCCTTCTCGGCCTCTCCCACCAACCTCCGGAGCTCGTTTGGTGGCGCCTCCTCGTCGTGAGGCATGTAACAAGATGCAAGGAGTATTGTGTCATCCTTGCCATCCTTCACAGCTACCACCGTCAGATCATCTGAAGAGAAATTAAGATCAATATAAGAGTGTATACTTTTCTTTACCAGTATAGCTGTTCTTACCCTGTTTGTTGCACTCGGGATGTGCGTATAGTAAGTTTGCGACTTTAGTCCAACTACCACGTTTCCCGACGCTATCCATGGCTCCTGGACTAACGCCGCATCGTAGCCGATCCTCTCTAAATTGAGGAGGAGCTCGGCAGAGGCGACCTTGCTTTTATGCAGATTTATTTGAAGAACCTTCACTGCAAGGATCAGGATTCTTTTCGGGGTCGGGTAGAATCTCCGGATCGCCCTTCTCGGTCTCCTGGAGCTTCAAAGTGGCCTCCAGGATCTCTCCCAGATCCTTCTCGACCTCTCGCTCCTCCAGTGTGTTAGCATTGTTATCGGCCAGGCTTCGCTTCTTCAGGCGAAGGTATACGCTACCTATGCCCCACGCCATCTTCCCGAACCTAGCGTACAGTATGTCTTCGGCCGGCTTGTTGATTTGGAGGATGTAATTTTGGCTGCCATCCTCCTTACAGGAGTTGGTGACCTTTAACACCCTCCAATCTCCCGTCGGCACGTCTGGGTTCTGTCTCTGCAGAAGCCGCAGCGCATTCTCCGGTTTTACCGTGCGGGGTATGAGCACCTTCGCTTTCGGTATGGATGGTATGCAGCTGCGGTCCACAACCTCCAAGACGGCGCCCTCCCACGGGCCTTGAAGCGTCGCAACAGCTTCCTTTACCCATAGTAGAGAGGGATCGTCCTTGCATCTTATTATTTTCACCCCATTTAGCCACCCCGCACCATCGAAAGTGGGCATGGTCGTGGTGGGGTCCCCATCCATTTTTGCGACGAGCGCATCCAGCAGCTTATGCTCTACTGCTCCCCAGCGCTCCTGAGAGATTTGTCCCAGCGGATTGCTCCGGTCTGTGAGTGCCACGATAAGGTGTCTTCTGGCTACCTCACTGGCCATTGCCGCCGCTCTCGATGTAGTCGGTTTCTCTAGATCGAGCCTGACGTTTGGCTTTGCAGCGTCGTCTCTGCGCCTCGATTTTTTGGCTGGCCTTGCTGTCTCGCTTTCAGCAGACCGCTGCCTTTTAGCCGCGATTCCTTCCTCTATCCGGTTTGCGAATCCCGGATCCGTGGCAGTGAATCGTGGCCTTGCCGCGTAGTACGCCCGGCCTTCCTCCATTTTCTCCTTAGCCCAAGCCAACCTTTCCTCCTCTTCCTTCGTCCGGTTGGACTTGCACCTAAGTCTCTCGTGGACTTTGACCGCCGCCTTGTATATGGCTTTAGCCTTCAACCCCTCCTTACTGGGTTTTGCCCTAGGCCTTTTCTTTGATGCCGAACAAGCACCTTTGGCATCCCCCGGAGAGCGTAGCAAGGCCTCCTCTTCTTGTGTGCAAACGCTCTCACCGCTTTCGAGGTCCGAGTCTTCGTGGACTGTGGCACCCCTGCGCTGTAGCGTCGCTTTGGCGGCAATACTACAACCGCTGTGAACCGCTCCCTTCACAGCGGAGGTGTGGCCGCTGGCGACACAGCAAGTAGACTCGCTGTGCCCGCCGGTGGTAGTAGCCACTTCTCCCACCGACGTTTGGGCTGATATCCCAGCCCGCTCTTCTTCCTTTCTGGCCTCCATGATGAGTTTTTATGTCAGGGAACCTCTACCCCTAGCGTTTTATACCTACCGCCAGGTACCTCGTTAGCAATGGCAGAAGTAGGCATACACCCCCCTCCCCCAGTTTCATATGCAGAGCAAAGCACTAGCAAGAGCTAAAGGATGGATACGTATTCCTGCCTTCGCTAGACGCCACCTGCTCCCACCGCCAAGACCCGCTCTAGGTACTAGCCTAGGTGCTAAGCCATCACGGTGACAGCAGCGACGCCCATTGCCCAGTCGGCACCCGCGGGGAGGATTTAGCTAAGAGGATTTTTGCCGACCAAAAAAAAACTCATTTAAAAAGCGCGACAAATTTATTAAAGAACGTTTAAATCTCTTGAAAGGGCACAAAATTACACTGAATGAAATTTAAATTCAATTTTCAAACATGAAGGAAAGTATGGTTCGTAAAGACTTTTTAAACGAAATCCACAGTTCGGATAGTGAAGCAAGTGATGACAATGCAGAAATTTCAACTGAAGATAAAACTCAAAACAATATTATCTGTGTTATATGCTGCGAACGGGAACGGCAACTTTTGTTTATTCCATGCAAACATTTTAAGATTTGCCAGTAATGTTTTCAACATATTAAAGAGCACGCAGATAAAAATCACACAAAAGCGCTATGTCCAATTTGCCGAGCAGTTATTAAAGACGCTTTCCCTATATTTTGTTAGACTTCATAAATAAAATTATTTTGTGAATATTATTATCTTTATGAATTACTAGCAGACCCGGCGAACTTCGTCCCGCCCAAAATTTTTATATATTTTATTGAAACTTTTTGGTCCAACATTTTCACCAACAATTCACGTTTACGATTTCATTGGCACATTTGTCTGCTAAGATTAAGGTTTGGTAGTCATTTGCCGCTTTAAATAACCTAAGGAAAGTGTTATATCCGTTCT